TTTGTATAATATCCCAATGGCTGCTTTAACAGCTTTGCTTTTAATTTTACATCTATTTACGGATTTTAAATTACCACGCTGCGCTCGAACCTTGCTAAAGACTCCAAGAAATGTTAAGATAACTTCTATGACTGATGGAGGAGAATATCTTCATCTGGGAATGGTTCCTGTCCTAGACTCTATTTTGAAATATCGCGGCCATATGGGAAAAGATTGTGAAGATAGCATTGATTTGTTAGTTAACGTCGACGGGTTACCTATATACAAATCATCCAGAAAATCATTATGGTTAATTCTTTGCTCCGAAATAAACTGTGAAAGAGTGTTCTTGATTGGAGCTTATTGCGGAGATCATCATCCTGCAGATTCTAACGAATTTTTATCAGCGTTCGCAGAAGAAGCAAAAATTTTTTGCAGTAAAGGTTATACTTATAAAGATCGTCAAATTCAAGTTAACTTAAAAGGATTAGTATGTGATGCCCCAGCCAAAAGTTTGTCTCTGAAAACAAAACATCATTCGGGATATTTTTGTTGTTCAAAGTGCAAATTTAAAGGAAAAGGAATACGACCTAAACCATGGAGAAAAAATCCGAAGAAAAAATCAAAGCGGCGTGTTTGTTTTCCTGGAATAGGTCCATTTAAAAAAAAAACTGATGAGGAGTTTGCAAATAATTCTTTCTGAGGTATTTTTAAATTATTTAACATAATGACAATAACAATAACAATAACAATAATAATAATAATAATAATAATAATAATAATAATAATAATAATAATAATAATAATAAATGTAATAATCATAATAATAATAATAATAATAAAAATAATAATAATCATAATAATAATAATAATAATAAAAATAATAATCATTTAATAAATATAACAAATATAAATAATTAAATATAAATATAGGAACTTATCAAGAAGGAAAAAGTGTTCTAACAGATATTCCACGTTTTGGAGGTGTTACTAATGTACCATTGGACTACATGCATCTTATCTTATTAGGAATTATGAAAAAATTGATTTATCTTTGGTTGTGTGGTCCGTCATGGGTGAAACTTCTTCCAGATATAATCGACAAAATTTCTGCACAATTGATTGAATTAAGAAAAAATCAGCCGACAGATTTTGTTAGGCGATCGAGGTCTTTACGAGATTTTAAATATTGGAAAGCTACAGAATTTCGAAATTTTTTACTATACAGTGGTCCAATAGTTTTAAAAAATGTTTTCAAGAATCAAGGTTTTTATGACAATTTTATGGCTCTTCATGTTGCGATAACAATTTTATGCAGTCCAGTTTATTCCGAAATTCAAGAAAACATTGATTATTCCCAAAAATTAATAGAATACTTCATCCAAACATTTGAGACTCTTTATGGAAAAGAATTTATGTCATATAATTTTCACAATTTACTCCACATTTGCAATGATGTTAAAACATTTGGTCCTCTAGATGTCTTCAGTGCATTTAAGTTTGAAAATTATATGACAACTGTGAAGAAAAGACTTCGAAAAAAAACAAACCTTTACAACAATTAGCAAAAAGAAGTGCTGAAATGCAAGCTTTCGAGGAAGCGAACATTAATAAACCAGTTGTGATTTTAAAGCAGTCTCATTACGATGGGCCTTTAATGAACAATACACCTGAAAGAATAAAGCAATATAAATCACTGAAAAATCGATCTTTTTTTATTGACTGTGGCAGCTCAAGAGACAACTGCGTTCTATTGAAGGATAATACAGTTGCAACCATAATGAATATCGTCGACTTTGGGGAAAATAACATTTATTTGATTGGAAAAAAGCATACTATTGTAAATTCATTGTACGACACTCCAATAATTTCGCATCATTTAAATGTGCATGTAGTTTCTTCGGAAAGCAATGAACTTTTCTTATGGTCTTTGCAAGAATTAAAAGCAAAATTTTGGAAAATCCCAAGAAAGCAAAGTAAACAGTCAGTGGTTGTACCTCTAATACACACAGTTTCTGAGGGGCACAACTCGTGAATTTTTTAATTCAAAAATGTGAATCGGTATGTATTCTTATACTTAAGTAGCATAACAATATGTGAAAAATTATTTATTTATTATTATGTATAGAACAATCTGTAAGCAGATGATTAGGTTTAGTAATATTTCAGAAACAATACTAGTTTGTGAAATTAAGCGCATCTTTTCCTTAAAAAATCAAAATAATTAAGAACCAATATAAATATTAAATATGTTAAATAAAATGTCAATATTAATACCTACCTTTTGAATGTATCAGGAATTCAAGCTGATATCAGATAAGTCATTCACGAAAAAGATAGCGTCGACACAAGTGAATTTGAATTAAAATGAAGAAGATTAGAACTATAGATTGAAAGTTTCCCGTTTCCTCATAAAAATCAGTGTCATTGATTAAAATATATGAATACAATTTTTTCATATACAGATGAAGAAGATGGAAAATTATGAACTAATGTGTTTCTTTTTTAAGTATTTTAAGTTTTTTGATTTTTCATTAGTATTATTTTGGTAAATTATTATTAAATTAAATATGTTTTTGCAACACTAACCTCTAAAGTTAAATTTTACACACTGAAAAGTGTGTGTAAAGAAGCTCTTTTTCAAACAGTGTGTAAAGTGATTCACTTTACGCACTGAAATTTACTTTACGCACTGAAATATTACTTTACACACTGAAATTTACTTTACGCACTGAAATTTCTCTCACATTATATAAGGATTTTTTTAGACCATACAAAACCACAAAATTAAAAAACGAACTTTACTTTTAAATTTATACACTCCTGCTTAATGATATTTTTCCTGATCTTCGATTGATTTTTTTAATTCTATACAATCGAAATTATTCTAATAGAGAGTTGGAATTCTTCATAATAAGTACTTAACTTTAGAGGTGGGTGTTGCAAAAAATGTTGTATGATACACGTGCGTAAATCTGATTATACTCGTGTGATTTGCATCACTCGGCTTCGCCTCGTGCTGCAAACGTTACACTCGTATAATCACTCACTTTACGCACTTGTATCATAAATAACTATTTTCAGTTTGTGAACCTTTTGAATAAACAAAAATATTTTTTATTTTTATGCAAATTATTATAAAATTATTAACAAATAATTGTAATAATACCCATATTTTTTCATATTATATTATTTATTTATTATTAATCATAATACAATAATAATTATAAAAAATAATATTAAAAAATAATTCATTTAATCATTTATAGTCAACCTTTTACTCATTTTAATAATGTTTTGTTTTTATTTTTTTTACTTTCAAATTTAATTTTGCTTATATATTTGCTTTCCTAAAATATAAATGTAAAGTTTATTGCAAAGTTCCTAAAATTTTATTTGATTATTCTCTGAACTTACAACATAATATTGCAGAAACATTAAAAAAAAATATTTCTGTAATAATTCATAGCAATATTTCTGCAATATTTCTAAGAAATATTCAAAGAAAAAATTCAGGTACATATGGAAAGTTTCATCGCAACATTCCTGCAATATTAAAATATAATATTTCCTGAGTCGGACATTTTAATATTTCTGAAATATTCAGGCAATGTTAAAATTGAATATTTCGAATATTAAAAAGAAATATTGTAGCAATATTGCTGCAATATTACGTGTTATGTGGGTTAAACAAAACTATTTTTTTTATTCAGATCCTCAATTAATACTTGCAATATTTCAAGTAATTAGAGCAATGCATTTTATTTTTTTAGAAAAGATTATAATTAATTTACATGTCACTATCAAGTCACGCGATCCTACTTGTTTATTTCCGTAACTAGTTTTCTCGTAAAATATTTTGTAAATTTTTGTATATTTCGTCAGATAATATTTTGTTGAAAAATTTATTTAAGGAAGTTGGTGACCCTAACATAACTTCAAAACTGAAAAATTGTATTTAACGCAAACAAAAATTTAATAAACATTAATTTCAAGCACTTTCGGAAAATATAGTTATACACTATTCGGAAAAAATTATGGCGAGTTAAAATCATTTGTTAAGTAATTTTTTTAACATTTTGAATTTTTTCTTTGAGATCAGACAAAAATTGCAGTTTTTATCCAATTTTTATTAACAAAAGCTTATTCTACTCAGTAAAACATTCTCTACAATCGTTATCTGTTTTAGTTGTTAAAATTATATTTTTAAAATTTTATAAAAAATTTAAATTTTATTTATTTCATAATTTTTTAACAACTGAAAAAGTTAACGATTTTAGAGAATATTTTTATGAGTAGCCTTTGTTTATAAAAGTTGGATAAAAATGGCAATTTTTGTCTGATACCAAAAAAAAATTCAAATTGTTTTTAAAATAATGACTTAACAAAATATTTTAACTAAAAATAATTTTTTTCGAAAATTATATGGCTAAATCTTCCAAAATTGCTTAAAATTAATTTTTATTAAACATATGTTTGCGTTAAATACATTTTTTAGAAAATTCATTTTTTTCGAATATCTATCAATTTTTTAAAACATATTTCTCGGCAAAATATCAACTCCCACGGATACTTAAAATTTCTTTACAAGTAACAGCACACTTTATCATATCCCGTGCAAAAATTTTTAGATCTGGCTTCAACCTGGTTGAAACAGTGAACCCGGCCAGGGCCCGGTGCGGCTTGTGCGCTCCAGATCGGTCCATACCAGGCTCCGGTTTTGATCGGGCTGAAACAGGACTTTTTCCTGTGGTCCCGACTGGATTCTCTGTTTCATCCAGAGTTGAAGCTCCCCGACCTGGCCCCGGCTTAGGCCCAATCAAAATTTCTACACGGAATAATTTAGGGGAAAACGATCTAACAAAATTAATGTCGGATTAAATGACTTAATAATTTCAAAGCCTTAAAAATGTTTTTAGTTTAAAATCTATAATACCTGGAGAAAATTATGAACATAGTATACAATATAATCTTAATAATGTCAATAGGATTATTTGTTGAAAATAAAAAACGAATTTTACCATACATCCGTTGATGTCGAATAATCTTGGATATTTGTCTCCAATGTCTTGAATTGTTGGATTGTCATCATTTATCCACTTGCGTCTGTTCGAAAGCGTTAATTGAAGAGTTTCTTGAATTTCCTTCTTCTTATCATTGTGAGTTGCATCCAGGATGTCTGCTAAATAAATAAATTTGAAGAAGTATTATACAGTTAAATGTATCAATAAATTATTAAATAAATATACGTGTTCTTTCAAATCCTCTCCATTTAAAAAAGTTGTATCGTCTTGGTCGAGTTGAGAATGAATTTTTTTAGTATTCATTTTCATCTTAGAAGTAGTATATGGGCATATCTCTAGAACTTTTAAACTTTGAGATATTAGAAAAATTAATTTTTTTTTCATGGCACATTCGTGAAACAAATTTTATTGTCTTCAGTATTGATCAAATACTATAAAAAAATTTGCGTAACTCATTTTTACATATTGTTACGCAGCACAGTGGGCCTTATTGCAAAAAACCTGCCCAAAATCTCTAGATGTGTTTAAAACTGACTGAAATTTGTTACTCGCGGATTTTTTTGGTCGCTGATTACAAATCCGACTTTAGTTTTTCAAAATTCAAAATGGCGGATCCAATATGGCGGACGACTTTTAAAAAAATTGATCGAATTTTAATGAAATTTCCCTATTGAAAATCCCCACATGGGAAACCACATGGGATCCTATGTCAAAAACTATGTAAAACCCCATTCCCCATATGGGAAACCATATGGTTTCCCATATAAAAACTCATGGGAAATTGGGACAGGAATTGGCATAAGAAAATATCAAAACGAGGTTCCTCCATGTCATTTCCTATGTCAAATTCCATGTCAAATATCATGTTAAATACCATGTTAAATACTAATTGAGATCCTTTATCACTTTTTTGAAAAATTTTCTCATGTCAAACCCCATGTCATTTCCCAAGTAAAAACCTTTATCATTTTTTTGAAAAATTTTCCCATGTAAAACCCCATGTCATTTCCTAAGTAAAAACCTTTATCATTTTTTTGAAAAATTTTCCCATGTCATTTCCCATGTGAAATCTTTTATCATTTTTTTGAAAAATTTTCCCATGTCAAATCCTCTTTCGCCTTATCGAAAATACCCACATAGGAAAGCATATGGGAATCCACATGGGAAATGGAATACGATTTCATGTGCATTCTTCCAAATGATAAAACAAATAGATTTAAGCATAGGAAATCATATAAGATTTCATATAGATTCTGAAATTTCAACCTAAGATTTCACATGGATTTACATATAGGAAATGATATAGGATTTTATTCGGGAATTTTTTAGTTGGCTGCTTTATGCAGGCGGCAGTTTACAAAAAAATTAATTATTTGATTAAATATCAAATAATAATACTTCAACTCATCTGAAAATAAAAAAAAGTTTACTTTACTTCTGCCTTAGACTCTCAGCTTTTATAGTATTCCAGACTGATCTCAACTGTGAGAGAAAATATTTTCACCATCTGGTGGTGAAACAATGAAACTATAATGACGATCAACATCTATATTGAAATTTCCTATGTCATTTCCCATGTGAAATCCTCTTTCATTTATTCGAAAAATTTTCCTATGTCATTTCCCATGTGAAATCTTATCATTTTTTCGAAAAATTTTCCCATGTCATTTCCCATGTGAAATTCTTTATCATTTTTTTCAAAAAATTTTCCCATGTCAATTCCCCTGTCAAACTCCATGTCATTTCCCATGTGAAATCTTTTATTATTTTTTGGAAAAATTTTCCATATCAATTCCCACGTCTAACCTCATGTCATTTGCCATGTGAAATCCTTTATCGTATTCCATTTCCTCTGTGGATTCCCATATGCTTTCCCATGTGGGTATTTTCGATAGGGCGAAAGAGGATTTGTCATTGGAAAATTTGTCAAAAAAATGATGAAGGATTTCACATGGGAAATGACATGGGAAAATTTTTCGAAAAAATGATAAGAATTCACATGGGAAATGACATGGGAAAATTTTTCGAATAAATGAAAGAGGATTTCACATAGTGTTGCATGTCAAGCCGATAAATGCTCGATATCGATTGTTTATACTTGATTATTGATATATTTTGTCAAGCCAAGAAATGTGATTTTCTTTTGTTTTTGATTGACTTTAATCGTTTGAATGTGGTTTTGAAACATCGATCAAACATTATAGAATTATTTCTATTTCATTAGCTTTCCCAGATACAAATACAAATAATATAAATTTGTGTCAAGCAAAATGTCCGAAGATACGAATCAAATTGAAAACAATAAAAGGAAATACAATGAAATAAATGTAGATAATGAGCAAGCAAAGGAAGTTTACAAAAAGTAATTTATTAACCTATTTCAATTTAAATAAATTTTTTGACAATTTATAATTTACATTTTTCATTGGAAAATAGGTGACTGATTGTCACCATTTTCAAATATAAAAAATATGAAGTTTACATTGATCATATATTCATTTAGTGCGAAAAGCACCTTTAAAAGTAAAAGACGGAAACACGATGCTTTGCCCTTGGAAAATTCTTTTGAATACTTTATGGAAGATGGATGTAAAATGGGAAAATGTAAATTATGTCCACCGGAAATGATTAAAATAATTCGAATGAAAAATAGCAACACGACCGGGATAAAGCGACACCTTCAAGAAAAGCATCCCAATGCTTTTTCATTAACTTATCCAGAAGATAACCCCTCTGAACAAAAAAAAGAGGCAACATAATTATTTATAAATATATATATATTTTTCTAAATTAAAATAAAATTTGAAAAGAAAAATTAAACCTTAAAATAATGAGATCGGCATTTTTGCCAATTTATTTATTATTTTATTATCTACGTTTTAGAAATTTAACAAATGAAATTAAAATTTTTTTTGTTATACATATTTTTTTTAATAAAAAACAGCTTTAAGGATGAGAAAGTGAAAATTCTTTTACATTAAAATTAAAAACGAATAGAAAAATTTTTTATTTTAAGGTTAACGAATGTTATTTTATTCATTTTTAATTATTTTATATAAAGATGAGTTTATATACAATAATATTAAAATTTATAAAAATTTCAATAAAATAATCCAAACAATATTTATTTTTATTCCATTTACTGCAGGTATTTATACAGGAAACTTTCAACAAGAAAATTGTCGATTTTGTTGCTAAAAAGTATTTGCCGTTTTCGTTTTTTGACGATAGCGATACCCAGGGATTGTTTCACTATTTAAATCCAAAAGCAAATTTGCCGTTGAGAAGTGAGCTCAAATCTTTAACTATCAACCGATATTTTGAAGTAGAAGCCGTTGTAATGAAAATATTACAGAGCAATAATTCCAAGATTTCATTTACAATGGACGGTTGGACTTCCATATCAAAGCGTTCTTATTTCGGGGTAACTGCTCATTTTATAAACGACGAATGGAAGCTGCATTCCTTGACACTTTTTTTTATTCCATCAAACGGGAAACATACTGGAAAAGAAACTGCCGAAATGTTTCATAAAGCTCTTGAGAATCACGATTTGCTGGAAAAGATTCAAGGAATAACATTAGATAACGCCGCGGTTAACGCCAAATGCATGGTAGAATTATCACGCCTATTGTCTACATTCGATTCAAAAAACCAGCATTTCAAATGTTATGCGCACATAATACATCTTGGTGTGATGGATTTACATGTCGAATTAAAAATTGATAAACCTAATCCTGGTGAAAACGAAGATCTTTTCGATGGAAATATTGATTATGACGAAGACTCAGAAACTGAGAATAATGAACAATCACAGGTTGAACAGTATCCCCTTGCGAAATTGAGAAAACTTTTTAAAATTATGTCATTTTCTGAACAGTGGAGAAATAAACTTCAAAGTTGCTGCTCAATCACAGAAGAAAAAATGTATATTCCAAACATTGACATCTCCACTAGATGGAATTCTACCTACATGATGACAACTACAGGAACTAAAATGAAACGTTCATTGACACTTTTATGTGAAACTAATGATCAATTGGAGAAATACCTAATTTCAGAAAATGAATGGCAGTTACTAACGAGTATTTGCAAATTCCTTCGTTATTTTAAGGAATTATCAGATGCCTTAAGCGGAGAAAACTACGTTTCTTTACCTTTGGTTGTGATTGGGTTCAATTTACTTTTGGATCGAATTGACAAACAAATTGATAAACTAAGAAGCAAACGTGAAGATGAAAAAACTTGGATAGATGATTCAATGTTAAAGGGATTGGAAGCGTGTTATTCGAAATTGATGAAACATTACGAAAAGAGTAATTGGGTATACTGCGCCGTTCTTTTATTGGATCCTAGGCATAAATATGTCACATTTTTAAAAACATCTTGGGGCAAAGAAATGGCAAAACTTTCTTTGGCCACATTTGAAAAAATTTACAAATCTAAGTATCACAAACAGAAGGTATATTGTGCAATTATTATATCATTTAAAAATTAAAAATAATTAAAAATTAATTTTTAAAAATTAAAATTTAATTAAATTTTTTAATTACTAAATTAAAAATTAATTTAATAATAAAAAATCATTGGTTTTTTCGGTAATTATTTAAAAATAATAATAAAAATATTGAGAAATATTACTTAATAATAATTTTAATAAAATAAAATAATTAAAATATTAAAAATTTAAAAATAAAATTTGTTAAAATCAATTTCACGAACTGAATAATTTGGTAAACAAATTGTTACATTTTTTTTATTTCTATTATCATCAGGAAAATGTTGAAAGAGACGTGTCCAGTTCGGGCAACAATTCCGAATTCTCAGAAAATAGTAGTGATGAAGATGACACACTTAATTTGAAAGGATTTTTTAAAAGTCACCAAGAATCAAAGAAAACCAATCATTCTTCAAATGAATGGAGAAAAGAAATTGATTTATACTTGTCTCATCCTTGTGCAGATCCCGAAGAAAACATTTTAGAGTGGTGGAAGAAAAATCAAAATTTATATCCAACTCTTTCATTAATGGCTCGCGACTTATTAAGTGTTCAAGCGTCATCAGTTCCATCCGAAAGGCTTTTTTCTCGTGGTTCCTTGACCATTAGAAAACATAGGAACAGACTAGAAAATGATTCTATAAAGTATCTTATGTGCTTAAATTCATGGATGAGTTGTTCTTTGAAAGATCAGATTGAAGCTTCTCTTAAGGGTTAAATATTTTTACATAATTTACAAATTCCTTCGTTACTTTAAGGAATTATCACAAGTCTTAAGCGGAAAAAACTACATTTCTTTACCTTTGAATATGATTGGCTTTTTTGCACGTAATATTTTAAACATTACGCTAATTGTATTGTATGAAAAAATATAATAAATTAAATAATTTACAAGATTTTCTGCGTTTATTTTAATGATACAAGAATATTTCTTAAATCATTCAATTTAATAATTTACATATTTGAAAATTGCAATAATTTGAATAGTTTAAATTACACTGTTAGTATTGTTTTTTTTTAAAAATTAAAATTTGAACTTTATTTAATTTAAACACTTTTAATAATAATATAATTATTTTAAATAGTAACGATCATTCCAAAGATTTTAATTTTTACAATCAAGAAATATATATTTAATTGGAATTAGCAGCAAAAAAAATCATCTATAAAAACCGTAGGTTATACTGTTCTGTAAATTTTTTAAATTGAAAATTAACGCATCACGCAAACTAAATAGTGCACTGTTTAAATCTAAAATGTAGGCATAAAATAATATAATTTAAGAAAGTTGAGTTAATCATACATGTACAGTTTATTTTTGATGAGGTTAGATTCTTCTGAGAAAAATTCAATATTTGTATTGAATAAATAATTCTCTAAAATACAAATTTAAAATAATATTACGAAACATTTATTTTTTTGTGTATCTACAATGAAATTATTTAAATTTTCTCCGAATCTCTGTAGGTTAACTTAAATCTGAATCAATCAAAAGCTCGATTGAATTATTTCCCGATAAGCTTGTCTCTATGACACGAACCAATCAATATATCGCATAACATTAAACAATCATCTTTCTTGAGATCGGCAATTCCTCGATTGTTTCGGTTGACATGCAACACTAATTTCACATGGGAAATGACATAGGAAATTTCAATATAGATGTTGATCGTCATTATAGTTTCATTGTTTCACTACCAGATGGTGAAAATATTTTTTCTCACAGTTGAGATCAGTCTGGAATACTATAAAAGCTGAGAGTCTAAGGCAGAAGTAAAGTAAACTTTTTTTATTTTCAGATGAGTTGAAGTATTATTATTTGATATTTAATCAAATAATTAATTTTTTTTGTAAACTGCCGCCTGCATAAAGCAGCCAACTAAAAAATTCCCGAATAAAATCCTATATCGTTTCCTATATGTAAATCCATGTGAAATCTTAGGTTGAAATTTCAGAATCTATATGAAATCTTATATGATTTCCTATGCTTAAATCTATTTGTTTTATCATTTGGAAGAATGCACATGAAATCGTATTCCATTTCCCATGTGGATTCCCATATGGTGTTCCATGTGGATTCCCATATGCTTTCCTATGTGGGTATTTTCGATAAGGCAAAAGAGGATTTGACATGGGAAAATTTTTCAAAAAAGTGATAAAGGATCTCAATAATATTTAACATGGTATTTAACATGATATTTGACATGGGATTTGACATTAGAGGCCTTTGATTGCAGTTTACTAATCATCCTAACCACGGCAGCACGTAAATCGAATACATTTTCAGCTTCAAAAATCTCATTTTCATCAAAATTTGGATTGTCATTATCTAAAGATTCAGCAATTCCGAAATCGACGTCGTCAAAATTATCAACATTAGCCACATTCTGAACACCATCATCGTCACGATCACCGTCACGATCATAGAGTGGAAGTTCTTCATCGTTATTTCTTTCAAAATGAATCCTTTGTATATGCTTGCGCAAAGAAATAAAATGTGCAAACCGCCTTTTACAACCATCTTGTGCACATTTAAATTCAAGTTGTCCCCCTCCTCTTTTGATTGTAAATCCGTGTTTACAATGTAAGTGGTGAACATAACCACTAAACCCTTGTACATAAGCTGAACACTCAGAACATTTAATTCTCTGCATGTTTCCACAAAGATTATAAATCTAGTTACAATTAAATATAATAAAATTTAAAAATTTGAATTTATCACGCGTTAATTAATATTAGATAAAAAATTTTAATTACCTTGGACTGATTGATAATTAAAATTTTTCAGCTTATAATAATAATAGGAATCACATTACCTATTTTCTTAAAAATAGATGAAAAGGTAAATAATTTTTTGAAAAATGGTGAGCAAAAAATGCAAAAATTTGTTTAATATAATATGTATATATTAATTTTACTTATAATTTTTTTTGTTTCTAAAAAATAACAATTTTTT